ATCACCCGCGATCAGACTGCAAATTCCTAGACGCCCTCTGCCGTTCCTGTGGAAAGAGGGGCCACATTGCAAAGGCCTGCAGAAGCAAGCGAGGGTCCAGCCCAAACCGAAGAGAAAATAATTTCCGGCAGACATCAGGCACCCCACCAGTGAATCGGGACCGCCCAAGCAACCCATGGCACCACTACTACAGAAACCGAACACCAGCCACTTCTACTAGACGAGAAGAGGTGCACCAAACCATCACCATCGGCCACGCTTCATCCCTTGATGCAAGGAAAATCCGAGTGAAGGTCACCATAGAGAATCGACCATGCGTTATGGAAGTCGACTCCGGGTCATCCCTATCAATGGTCTCCTGGAAAACCCTCAGACAGCTGATCCCTGACATCCGTCGCCAGGACCTCAGCACTCAGAAAGTCATATTAAAAGACTACCAAGGAAACAGAATTCCAGTTGCCGGTTCCAGACACGTCCAAGTCTCTTTCAAAGACCACACTGCAACCCTACCACTCACCGTCGTCGATAGAGATCGGCCCAGCTTGTTAGGCTTGCAGTGGTTCGCGCCGCTAGGGATTGAACTAGCTGGCATCTATCACACCGAAAGTGATGACTGGGAAGCTGCCCTCATCCAGGAATTCCAGGACGTTTTTTCCGAGAAGCTAGGCAAGTACAAGGGGTCCCCCATATCGTTTAATCTCAGCCCCGATGTTGCGCCCATTCGCCTTAAGCCTCGTTGAGTGTCCTTTGCACTTAAACCAAAGATTGATGAACAATTGGACAAATTAATAGCCCAGGGCGTGTTGGAACCGATTGACCACGCCCGATGGGAGACTCCAATTGTGACCCCCATAAAGCCTGACGGATCTTTGAGAATTTGTGGGGATTACAAGGCCACCCTAAATCACGCGCTTCAGCAGAACGCTTACCCCGTGCCTGTGGTCCAACACCTTCACTCCCTTGGGGGCGGAAAAATATTTGCAAAATTGGACTTAGCCCAGGTGTACCAGCAGTTGCCCGTAGACGCAGAGACTGCAGAAGCCCAAACTATAGTCACGCACAGAGGTGTATTTAAGTGTAATAGACTCCAATTCAGAGTGAGTGTAGCACAAAGTCTGATGGAGAGATTGCTACAAGGCATAAAAGGGGTCGTACCATACTTCGATTATGTCCTAATAGCCGCCCCCACTAGAAGCCTACTAGAAAAACGACTACGATTGGTCCTCCAAAAATTCAAAGACGCTGGCCTGAAGGTCAAGAAGGACAAGTGTCAACTGTGTACTGAGAGGGTTGAATTCCTTGGGTACCTTCTTGACAAACAAGGAATTCACCCTACTGAAAAAAATTGGCTGCAATAAAAAACGCCAAGAGACCTAAAAACAAAACAGATCTCCAAGCCTTCCTGGGACTCATCAACTTTTATAACATCTTTCTACCCCAGAAGGCGACTGTTGCTGAACCCCTGCATAGACTCCTCAACAAGAAGGCTTCCTGGGTCTGGGGACATCGAGAAGAGCGAGCCTTTCAGCAAGTAAAAGACCTTCTAACATCAGATGCTGTATTGATACAATATAACGAGACTTTACCTTTAACTGTCACCTGTGACGCCTCACCCTTTGGGGTAGGAGCCATCCTGAGCCACGTCCTGCCAAACGGTACTGAGGCACCTATTGCATTTTTTTCAAGAACTTTATCTAAAACTGAGAGAAACTATAGCCAACTTGATAAAGAGGCTCTCGCTATTGTGTCTGCGATCAAACGATTCCATGAGTATGTATATGGAAGATCCTTTTCTATAATCACCGACCACAAACCATTACTTGTCATTTTGGCGGGAAATAAACCGACTCCCCACATCTTATCGCCAAGAATGACACGCTGGTCAGAGTTTCTAGCCGCATACAATTACCAACTGCTACACCGACCGGGAAAAGCCATTCCCCACGCAGACGCTTTGAGCCGCTCTCCATTACCAGAAGTCCTAGATGACCCAGCTCCAACCTTATCTACACTACAAATTGAGACACTTCCTTCACCACCGCTGACTGCACAAGACATCGCCTCGGAAACAAGGAAGGACCCTTGTTTGTCACGAGTCCTCAGCTGGGTGGAAAGAGGTTGGCCTGACAACCAACCCAACGACACCTTTAAGCCTTTCAAACACAGGTAGACAGAACTGTTCTCCCAAAAAGGATGTGTCCTGTGGGGAGACAGAGTGATCATCCCAGAGAGACTACAACATAAGGTCCTAAAACTATTGCATGATGGACATCCGGGCATCGTGCGAATGAAGGCACTGGCACGGAGCTACGCTTGGTGGCCAGGTATAGATAAACAAATAGAAACCTGGGTGGCAACCTGCAACAAGTGCCAGGAAACTCGCTCCGCTCCACCAAAAGCACCACCGACAGAATGGGAAGCACCCCGGGGTCCCTGGTCACGTATCCACATCGATTTTGCGGGACCTACCAAGGGGCATACATTTCTCATAACTGTGGATGCCTATTCTAACTGGCTTGAGGTCCACAAAATGAAGAGCACCAACACAGAGGCAGTCATTAAAAAGCTAAACAGACTATTTGCTACACACGGGTTGCCAGATGTCTTGGTCTCAGACAATGGCCCCCAATTCACTGCCTTGGCATTTGTACAGTACCTAGCAGACCGGGGAATACGCCACACTTTAACATCACCGGCCCACCCTGCGGCCAACGGCAGGGCTGAACGAATGGTCCAATTCACAAAGAAAACCTTACACAAGATGGAGCAAGGGAACATCCACGACAAGGTGACCAGGATGCTTCTCCTCCAACATATCACTCCAAACAGCACCACGAACAAAACCCCAGCCGAACTCCTGATGGGCAGGAAACTTCGATCACACCTTGACCGCCTACACCCTGCCTATACGCCGGAAAAGCCTCTGGGTTCCAGCAGCAAGTATCGCACATTCAAGGTAGGTGACCCAGTTTTTGCAAAAAAACCTTTCCGGTGACCCATTGTGGGTCCCCGCTACCATAACTCAACTTACGAGGCCCCGTTCCTACCGTTTACAAACTGCTGATGGGAAACTGTGGAAGCGCCATATCGACCAACTACGCTCCAGACTGGCACATACCCCCGTCACAAGCCCTGAACTTCAAACCTGGGGGGGAAGGGAAATCGAGGGGGCTGGAAAAGAACTAGTATCCGACCCAGTACTCGAAACCCAGCAATCAGCGCAACCAAACCTAGGATATTCACCTTCCGAAGATGAGACGGGGCAGATGGTTGCCTCTCCACGAAGCAGCACTGCGGTGTCGGCAAACCCAGAGAATCCGGATGACAGCCTTGAGGGTAGTAGAGATGACAACCCCGAGTCACCCAGCGGAGAAGTCAGACCCTCATTGCCACCAAGTTCAACGAACAGCCCACCGGAACCAGAGTCCGGGCAAAGACTGGTAGAGCAACGCAGATCAGGTAGACAGGTGAGACGACCTGCCTACCTGCGAGAATACATCACCCCACCCTTGAGACGGAACCTAGGGGGGAGGGGTGTTCCGAACTAAGCAAGCTCGTTGGCTTGCAATGCTAATAGTTTTCCTTCCACGACAGGTTTGTAAACCTGCACTTCTGATTGGCCCGCGGATAGCGGATCATGATTGGTCGCTTTTGGCTGATCTGATTGGCTGACAGCGGGTCACCGCTGATTGGACGCTCCCAGCGCGGCAAACTCAAACTATTGGGTGTTGTGACAGCAGCCAGCTCTATAAAAGGAGCTGCTGCTGCCCAAGTCTTTTGCTCTGTTCTGAAGTCACTAATAAAGAGTTGGAGTCACTTCTTCGATGCCTCGTCTCCGTTCTTGCGCCCACATGCCCAGACATAACAGAAACAGCATATAGGATGTCAGTATCTCAAGAAATCTAACGAAATACAAAGGGCAACCATTTTTACAGAATCCTACAAATTCTATTATTCTATGCTCTTGTGTATACATCGCATCAAGCACAAAGAAAAGTCACGGGCAGGGGAATGGAATAGAAGACCTCCAAGGTCTCTTCCAGCTCTATTATTCTATGTTCTAAATCTATTAATGCACAAAGAAAGATGCAACGACCGTATGCGTGATGCTGTTTCCTTTTCTGCAGGAAAGAGAGGAACATGGTGGTTGGCGATGAGTCTGTGTCGATGTCTACTAATGCTCACAAGCCCATCGGCCAGGAGTGAGAAAGCCCATGTCTGTAGTTGACCAAGCTGGGAGTGACTATATTAAGGAGGGAGGTTGTTGGATAGGTGCAACTGCGCTATTTTTCTGAACAAAACACGCCGAAAGATTGCCCACGGCACAGAAATTAGAGGAGGGGAACTCTAAATACAGTCGGTAGTTTCTTTGAAGCGGTGAGAAAGAGATTGTCTTGGCGCTAGGGAAGATTTAAAGAAAGCGCACAACGACTCTGCCTCCCCCAGCCCCGTTGGCAGAACCTCAAGAGAAGGGTGGGCGAAGGCGAGGGCCCTTAGCTTTCCAAATGCCTTGTGGCAGAGGTGCTATTCAGCAGGTTCTGATCGGTTCTGGAGAACCGATAGCAAAAATTTTGAGTAGTTCAGAGAACCGGAAAATACCACCTCTGACTGGAGATTTTACAGTATCCTTCCCCTGCCACGCCCACCAAGCCACACCCACAGAACCGGTACTAAAAAAAATGTAAATCCCTCCACTGCCTTGTGGCAGCCCATCTGAGGAAGAGTCCCTCAGCTGCTTTCGGTCATTCACGAGGCGCGGCTGTGATGCTCTTCCCTCCCATTACAGGACCTTGTGCACTTCCCTGATCTCTACCACCTGTGATGCAGGGGCAGATTGGCTGATGGGGGTGTGTCATATGACTGGTCACGTGGGGGAAGCAGCTCGGCCGAAAAGAAAATGGGGTTTGGTGTAAATCTGGGAGTGCAATGTTACCATATATCACGCTACCTCATAAAACCGACACCGAAGCCTACCGGACAACAAATTGCCGGTCAAAATTATGAGTTCTTCGTATTATGTGAGCGCTCTTTTTAGCAAATATACGACGGGGGCTGCTTCTCTCTTCCAAAATGCGGAGCCTACTCCTTGCTCATTTGCTACCAACTCCCAGAGAAACGGCTATGGACCAGGCGCTAGCGGATTCACCTCCTCCATGCTTGCCTTGTACAATGTGAACAGTGCCATATATCAAACCCTGTTCTCTTCCGGATACAGCCTGGGCTCTGCTACCTACAACCTTCATTGTTCCTCTTTTGATCAGAACATTCCCGTCTTCTGCAATGACTTAACCAAATCCAACTCTGAGAAAGCGGAGGCAAGCAACCTGCACAGCCAGGCTGAGACTAATTTCCGGATATACCCCTGGATGAGATCTTCAGGTATGGGGGAGCGGGTGGGGGAAGACCAAAAGCCTTGTTCAAAAACATAAAAGGACAGCTCGAGCTGCGGGCGAATTTTTCGCAATCTGGGGCAGGCGAGCCAAGGCGGCACATGCAAACTTCCTCGCCAAAAGTGTTCCCGCCTCTTCTAATTAAAGCAGAAGCGCCATTGCGCAAAAGCCTATGGCTTTGTATGTAAATGAACCTCATAAAACCTTTTATAGCCCAATTAATGAGTTCGAGCCTCATAAATTTATCTAACTCCTTTTCACGATAGAATTGGAGAGTCCGGTTGAACACAGGGCAGGAAAATAGGCTAGGGTGGCAAAGGAGTCTGGAAGGCACGCCTCGCGATGGGGTGCCTCTCTCTGCTCACAGCTGCAGAGAAGGGGAGTCGGGGTGGCGGGCAGAGAGCAACAACTGAGAACCCATCTCTTCATGGATTGGGCTGAAATGTGTGATTTCTTTGTTCTCAAATGTTCTTTGTCAGATATGGTCCTATTATAGGCAGGGAGAGGTTCTTGGTGCAGCTGCGCGCCCCCTAGACCAGGGCAAGGCGGTAGGTGCAGGCATTTTAATTTACATTTAAAAGAGTTTGCGAGCAAGACTTCGACCTAAGGTCTACCAAACGCTGGAACTGGAGAAAGAGTTTCACTTCAACCGCTACCTGACTTGCCGGCGGAGGATAGAGATCGCTCATGCCCTGTCCTTGACCGAGAGGCACATCAAAATCTGGTTTCAGAACCGTCACATGAAATGAAGGAAGGAACATAAAGAAGACGCCTCTGAAGTCGCGAACGAGGACACCACTACCTCGATGGAAAAGGTGGAGGAGGAAGGCGCGGAATAAATGCAGAGCCTCTCTTTTTGCATGCTGTTTGCATGTGACAGCTGTAAACACTCTTGAAGCTTTTTTAAAAATTAAAATAAACACAAAAATACCCGTTTTTTAATAGCCATTTTCACACTCTGGGGAGAGGACAGGCCAGGTAGATCTTTTCCATTACCTCTAGATATCCCTGGATTATTCTCAGTCTAAATTGCAGAGTCCCATTCTTTTGCTAGATTGGCTTTGGACATCCAAGCTGGTAGCCATTTATGTTAGCAAGTGATAACAGTATTTTTTTACTGATTTGTGAAAGGAAAATGAACCCAATAATTACCTGTTCTTTGTGGTGGTGCGGGGGATGAGAGAGAGCATGCAAGAATCCCATCTATGTTACTGTAGTTTCCAAATAAACTACCTGACTGCACAGATCCTCAAAATTCCAAAAGGGAATGCATTGGGATTAATTTCAGACTATCTAATTTTCCACTAAAGTTGTATGTAATTCCAGGTTGGTTGGACTTTCTAACTTATTTGTTTAAATAATGGGGGTTGTGGTTAGGAAGAAACCCTTAAACAAGAAAAATAACTACACTCAAATGCAAGGATTCATACTAACGGTTTTGAAAACTACCTATTTTCTAACTCCGCCTACCTATCACCAAAATGGTATTGTATAAATGAAAAGGGGGCAAGAACAGTGTTGGTGGGCATTGTTGCTGTGATCTGAAGGTTAAGGGAGATGTAGAGTAGAAACTCTGAGGCCTGCCTTGCATGTATAAAAGACAAGCAGGGTAACCATGCTTCGCTCTGAAACTATGTGATCAGGCAAGTTTTTGGGTAGGAAAATAAGGGGGGTGGGGGGAATTGTGCCTCTGCCTACCAGCATCCATTGGTATTCATCTGGCTAGTGTCCTGTCAGTGTGTAAGAGAGTTCAGGGTTGTTTGGAAACTGAAACAGTAGGAATTGGGAGGTACGACAATTTACTCACTATTCAAATTGACATGAATCATACTCAAGAATCGACATGATGTGGATGTCAAGAGGAATCAATGCAGACATCAAAGAAGTCGATATCAAACCAAGTCTTTGGGCCATCACAATCCCATTAAATATAGCTGGAGAGGACATAAGAAAATAGCAAGATGGACAATCCAACACGCAATCCTAAGAGGAAAGGAATTTAGATCAAGAATGGAAAAGGAACTGGGCCTTTTTTTAAAGCAAAAATAGAAAAGAAGAGACATCAGTACAGAATCTCTGGGATACGGATAAAGCATATATGAGAGGGGTGGCGATAGCATACCTGTACATGGATTAGAGACTGGATAGTACTAGAAAATAGAAGAACCCTGCAATTAGAAGGCCACGACTTGCAACAAGGATGCCATACATTTTTATGGCCTGACAAGCCAGGCTTACAACAGACACTTTCAACAACATAGAATTAGGCAAGCATTATTTAAGATCTGGAACAAAACTAAAAAGCAGATATACACTGCTCAAAAAAATAAAGGGAACACTTAAACAACACAATGTAACTCCAAGTCAATCACACTTCTGTGAAATCAAACTGTCCACTTAGGTAGCAACACTGATTGACAATCAATTTCACATGCTGTTGTGCAAATGGAATAGACAACAGGTGGAAAGCAGAGGCAGTTAGCAAGACATCCCCAATAAAGGAGTGGTTCTGCAGGTGGTGATCACAGACCACTTCTCAGTTCCTATGCTTTCTGGCTGATGGTTTGGTCACTTTTGAATGCTGGCAGTGCTTTCACTCTAGTGGTAGCATGAGGCGGAGTCTACAACCCACACAAGTGGCTCAGGTAGTGCAGCTCATCCAGGATGGCACATCAATGCGAGCTGTGGTAAGAAGGTGTGCTGTGTCTGTCAGTGTAGTTGTTAGGGATATAACACCCTAGCAGAACGTGCAACGGTAGTCAGTCAGGCAGGCAGATATGTGAGATAAACGTTGTAGTTTACACTCAGTAAAACAGATACAATGTGCTAGTTAAATAGTTTATTCCAGTAAGATTTATATGCATAGTCAAACGGTCCATATATCATACACTTAGTTCAGTCCGTCCGGGGATTATTCATTAGCAAAGTCCAGTGTCGAAAAAGAGGTCAGTAAACTTACAAATAATCAGTCCAGTAATATATCTCTTTTTGCAGTAGAGATATGAAGAAAATCAAACCCCTTTTCTTCTCTCAGCAAACACGCAGTTATCACCATCAATCCATCATTGTCAGCATTCCAGTAAAAGCCGGCAAACAGTGAGCTCTCTTGCTCCCTCTTATGGTGATTTTACAACCGCACCCAAAATACTTGGTTTACAGTTTAAAGTGATACGTACACTTAAACTCACTAACATAGTTTATATATATTATTTTACCCAAACTAAGTTAGGTAACCATGTTATTCGTAACATTCTCCCCTTTTGGGTAATATAATAACATATATATCTATTTACAACTTTAACCCATAGTTTTCACAACTTTCCTTGTGCTTTACTGCACCTTGGGCTTTTGTAAACTGATCAGCAAAATTTTCTTCAGTCATGTAATATTCCAGACTTATTAAACCATTTTTTACAGATTGTCTTACATTCAAATATCTAAGATCAGTATGCTTAGATCTCGTTTTTACAGCAATATTGGTAGCCAACCGTATGGCTGCTTGATTGTCCTCATACACAACAATGGCATCATTAACAGTTATTCCCATATCTAATAACAACTGTTTATACAGAATTAAATCAGTACATAATAAAGATAGACATGAAAATTCTGCTTCCATTGTGGACATACTTATATGTTGCTGTCTAATTGACCTCCAACCAATCAGTGCTTTACCTAATAGTATAGCCATACCTGAAGTTGATTTCCTAGTGTTTATGTCTGTTGCAAAACTTGCATCAGCATATGCACTTAAAATCAAATCATCTTTTGGCTCCAAATACAATGCATAGTGCATTGTCTTTTTAAGATACCTTAATATACGCTTTAGCGCTTGCCAGTGACGTTCAGTGGGTTCAGCGTTGAATCTTGCCAATTGATTAACGCCATATGCAATGTCTGGCCTTGACCAATTACTAATATACGATAAACTACCAATTAATGACTGATAAATAGTCTTATCGAATTTTGAACTTTGAGCATCAGTTCGGCAAAATTCCTGACTCATTGGAGGTTTTGCCGGCTTACAAAGTTCCATTTTATACGTTTTTAGCAATTGGTTAATTTTATCTTCTTGAGATATCTTAAAGCCACTCTTGGTTTTGGTTATTGTCAATCCTAAATACTGTCTTATCTCTCCTAATTGCTTTAATTTTATCCTCTTACCTAATAATGATATTATTTCAGTAGCTTCATTATTAGTCTTTGTAATTAAAGCAATATCATCTGTAAACAACAATAATAATGACACTGTTCCATTATTCTCTCTCTTAAATAAACATGGATCAGCTAAACCTGCTTTAAACCCTATATTGTTTAACTCCTTAACAATATATTGGTTCCATTCGTAACCAGATTGTTTTAATCCATAGAGATTCTTTTTAAGTTTCCAACAGTCATTATTATTTTTATTATCCTTAATACCTACTGGTTTCCTTAAATATATAGTGTGCTGCAATGGTGCATGCAGATAGGCAGTTTCTTGTCGCATCGAGCGACCGGTCCGTTGTTTCGATCTTCCGGTTTGCTGCTGAATTCCTTTCAAGAAGCAATTTGGCGGGACCCTCTCAAGGGTGAAGCTTAGCGGGATCCTCGCAAGGGTGAGGTTTAGCGGGACTCTCACAAGAGTGAGTGCCA